CAAGTATGGAGCATGGAGCCGCGACCTCGCCCAGAAGGTGCTGCGGTACCTGGCAGGGACAGCCGACCAAGGTCTTCTCCTTACCGCCCAGGGCGACGAGAACGACCTCCGCGTCTACTCAGATGCGGGGTTCGCCGGGGCAGCCACCCAGTCGCAAAATGGTCTGATCATCTGCTGGGGTGGCTCGGTGATCACGTGGCGCTCCAGCCGGGCAGCTTTGTCCGCGCTGTCCACGGCCGAGGCCGAGCTCTGCGCTGCCGCCTTGGGCTGGCAGGTGACCGAGGGGATTCGCTACCTCCTCTCCACGTTGTACATCTACCCCAACTGCGTCGAGGTCATGATCGACAACCAGGCTGCTCTCACTGCTGCTAGCTTGGGCGCAACCTGGCGCACTCGCTATTATGCCGTGCGTGCCAAGCGTTTGTTGGAGGAGGGGAAGCAGGGCCGAGTGAAGCTCAGCCATTGCCCCACGAAGGAGATGGTCGCCGACGCGCTGACCAAGCTGGCCACGCCCGAGGTGATCAAGGTCCTCATCGATGCCATGGAGGGGCAGCTCCCTAGCACGGTGGCTGCGCACGCGTCTTTTGTGACACCGGGACGGGCCAACAGGAGCGACATGGCAGGCGACGGGCCCTCCACGCCCCATCCTGCGCAACCTCCACGACCAGGCGCTGCAGCGGGACAAGGTGGACCAGGAGGGGGCACTGTGATGTTTGAGGGCATCGTCCACCCGGACGTCCCGCGCGACCACCCAGTCTGGGGGGAGCTCTTGAGGGCCATGTGTGAGAAGTGGATTCCAGGTTCTGATCTCACCTCGTTGCCAGAGGTGTGCGCGAACTACGCCGACGACATGCGCGTGCCCTACGCCGCCTTCGTCAGGAACCACGGCATTACCAACGAGCAGCTGCGCGCCGTGATCGAGGCAACGGCGCAGCTGACTGGAGGAGGCCGTGGAGCCACCTCATCTGCCGCTGGCGTATCAGGAGACGCGGGGGCCGATCGTGCGAGTCAACGCCCAGGCGCTGGAGCTGGAGAAGAGGCCGGCCCTAGAAAGAAACGCCGCAGAGGGGCACCGCGAAACAGACCTGGAGCTTCTGAGCGGAGATGGGCGGCACTTGAAAAGGCCATGGACTGACGTGGGCATCCACAGATTCATTTGTCGTGTACTGCGGATGGGGGGAACTTGTAAGTCCATCAGGCACGTATCGCTCATTGTGTTGACAGGTCATTGGAGTCATAACTGTGTATGCATATTTTGCCTTCGGAACCTGACTGGAGTCAAGGACGGTGGCACGCATTGATCATCATCTCGAGCAATAGCGTACACGTCACAGGTGACCTCTTCGTCGGCATCCATCCTGCTGCTCTCGACTGTCGGGCGGGCAACCCCTCGACAGCCGAGGAGACGCGCGGGGGCGAGGGCTTCCGTATACTTTATACTTTCATGAATTGATACAGTAGTCATGTCATGCATGAGCGTCCAGAGCGCAGGACCCGCCGGCCCTCTGATTCCGAGTGTTGTTTCTGGCCACGAGAGGAGGCCAGAATGCCCGCCGCTGCGAGAAGAGTTCTGCCGGTGCGCCATCCGTTCACACCCGCCGCTGCGAGAAGAGATCAGCCGGTGCGCCAGCCGCTCAGTCCTTGCTCTCACCGCCATTGACATGTGCATGTGTATTAAGACCTGTATTGTATTTTCAACCAGCCTCTGGGGGCCGGCCCCATAACTTTAGTTTATTGTATTTACAGCCGATGCTCAATAGTGCATTTCGCTCAAAGTCGGTGGTCGGGCGGGGAATCCGCTCGATAGTCGACGACGCTCGTGTCAGAATCAGTGCGGATGTTCTGGTTGAAGGCGCGCCCGTTCGAAAGCGGATGGGCCGGCACGCCCGGAGTTCTGACTTCTCGTTTCCGGTGACAAATCACCAGGGGCAGAATTTAGGGCGCTTATTCGGGCACGAAGTTGTCACGAAACCTTGCGCGAGCCGCGGGACGGATGAGGGTCCGTACCCGTTTTGGCTCAAGACGCGCCTCAGTGCATTCTGAGGCCACACCTGAAAAAACGAACTCTGCAGGTCATCATTGTCATCGTTGGGGGTCCGCCGCGCGACTCTGGCTGTGATCGGAGATGGCGTCCTCCAGTGCGGGACCGGGTGATTCGATCGTCCCTCTCCGCCAGACCTCCCCGAATCCAGCCACGCGGAAGGCCCCAGTGGCGGCGCTCACATGCGCATGCGTCCCGCGCACCCATTTCGGCATATCCCTCACAGGTTGCGTGGCCCCATCATCCACCGGAGGCCCCAGTGGGGGCGCTCACATGCGTCACCCACACCCACCCAATTCAACACACCCCTCACGCGTTTCGTGGCCCCATAGGGAGCTCCACCGAAGGCCCCAGCGGCCGCGCTCACATGCGTCCCCGCCACCCATCCCAGCACGCCCCTCACAACAACAGGTTTCGTGGCCCCATAGGGAGCTCCACCGAAGGCCCCAGTGGCACCGCCCGCATGCGTCACCACCCGCACCCAATTCGGCACACCCCTCACACGTTTCGTGGCCCCATAGGGAGCTGCACCGAAGGCCCCAGTGGCGGCGCTCACATGCGTCCCCCTCCACACATCCCAGTACACCCCTCACGCGCTTCGTGGCCCCATAGAGAGCTCCACCGAAGGCCCCAGTAGCGGCGCTTAAATGCGTCTCCGCCACCCATCCCGGCCCCCCCCCCGCATTAGCATCATGTTTCGGGGACCCATAGGGAGCTCCACTGGAGGCCCAGTGGCGGCCCTCACGTGCGTTTCTGCCACCCATGTCGGCACGCCCCGCGCGTGTTTCATTTCCCCAAAGGAGCTTCACCGAATGCCCCAGTGGCACCCATCTCGGCACACCCCTCACACGTTCCGTGGTCCTATGGGGAGTTCCACTGAAGATGAAACCCGCAGCTGCGGTACTGACAACTGCATATGGTTGGGTTCTTCGCCAGGCTAATTTTCCTGGTGATGGAATGTTTTTTCTGATTAAGCTCGAACTGCATATGAGCTCCCGAGCTTTTAGGCAGAGCAATGGGAAGACAATCGTGAGGCGCGCTATTTGGTAGTATCTAGACCCCTAAAATCAGTCTTCTATGAGCGCTCGGGCAGAACAACTATTCGTACTCTGCTAATTCCTTGGAGACGGTATTGGTTTTCTTGGTCAACTCGCGCTGCAGATGAGCTACAGGGCTGTTCTGCACAGCAATCGGAAGGAAATCATCAGAGGCGCTAGTTGAATGTATCTAGACGGCTGCAATCAGTCTGCTATTAGCGCTCGGGCTGAACAACTATTCGTACTCTGCTGATTCTTTAGAGATGGTATATGGCAAGGAAGCTCTACGAGTCCCCGGCGGTAACCAAGGTTGACGGTTTACCGCCGGCGCCCAGTGTGAGGGTCCCTTTGCTCTCCGGGTTTTGGACGCTATCAAGTGGCCCATGCGGCCGAGGCGGACAATGTGAGAATTTTGGGTCGGTTTTGCTAAGGTTTGAAAAATATTTAGCAATTTATTTTGAGAAAGCAGATTATTACGCCGAGCATTAGCATATAGAATTTGTTCCCGGATCAGCTCAGCTTTCTAGAGGCTGTTTCAGTATTAATTCACTCCCCCGACCCGACTTCATGTTCACACCGAAAAATGTGAATTTCACGTTTTTCTAGAAATGTTTCGAGAGAGCACCCGTACGCGTGCAAGGAGCTGCACGAGGTTCCCGGCGGTGACCAGGTTGACAGTTCACCGCCGGCGCGAGTTGCTGGAAGCTTAAGAGTAATATCGGCGCGCTGGAGACCCCCTCATCCCTCCTCAGGAGGTGGTGGAGGGGATGGACCGCCCGAATCGGGTCCAACCGCGACCGAAGCTGAGCCAGATGACCCGCCCTACATTGGGCGAGGTCCCTGGAACGTCCTTGACTACTTTCGGACGCAGGGGAATTTTGCGACTGATCCTGAGGCCCCCACAAATGACTGGCAGGTCAAGGTGAATGAGATTTTCGACCTCTATACTGGGATTACAGACCCGATGATGACGACCTGGGCAGTCAAACTGTCGTTTCTTCAGAAGTGCCAGGCCATCTCGCAAATCAACAGAGTCAACGGACACTCGTGGATTCCATTCATAGGTGAGGACCTCGCGGCCATGTCGGACACAGGGAAACCAGTTACTGATTTCTTTCGTCCACTGTGCTTGATGAATAGCGGGTCGCATACTTATTGGTCTTACTCTGTTCATATAGTATTGTCTCAGACTCCACAATTGTATTCAAGGATGGACCCGGGAAGGCTGAGCCTAGCCTTCTCCCTGAGTACAACCTGCGAGAACACGCATTTGGGAGCTCGCAGAACGCCATAAGCGGAGGATGAGGAGGAGGACGAGGAGGAGGAGGAGGAGGAGGAGGAGGAGGAGGAGGACGAGGAGGAGGAGGAGGAAAAGGAGGAGGAGGAGGAGGAGGAGGAGGAGGAGGAGGAGGAGGAGGAGGAGGAGGAGGAGGAGTCTTCCCTCCTCAGCTGTTCGGGGCAGACTCGGGGATCTGGGCGGCCTTCCGGGACTTCAGCGCTGGATACCCGCTTCCC